AAAACCCAGCAAAACAGGCAATTTGTACAAATTGTGCCAGTCACCAGTTTACAGATGTTTTGTGTTGCTCTTGCTGTAATGCAAACAATGGTTGTAAGAGCGAAAGCCACCGCCTTGTGTCCAAGCAGGCAGCCCCTCCTCCTGCAGCAAATGATGCTGAGTTTGTGGCATCTCCTTCTGCTGCCATAAAAATTGCTGTCATGTCACAGACTAAGCTCTGTGGCTTTGCTACCAGATTAAGCAGAAGAAGCTAGACTGTGATTAGCAAAAAATCACCAGGAAAGCAACGCGCAGGGTTTAAAGGTGAAGAGCTGCGAATAATAGAATGGCTGTGCTATACTCGCAGCGAGCTGAGCTGGGAGGTGCCGGAGCGCCTGTAAAATGGAGCTGCAGGGAGACAGAAGATAAGCATCGTGGCTCTGCTGATGCTGTGTCATAGCCAGGCACAAAAGCCGGAAGCAAACAGGTTTGCATCACTGCGGTCACATCATCGCAGATGGAGGAGAAGCTGAGCTGTGGCATGGATTTACAGTGGTGCTTTCCATACCTTCCATGTCAATGACAGCAGGTTATTTTCCCCCTTAAATCTTGGCATCTAATGAATTGTTCAGTTTATATGTTCAATACAATACCCTCTCTCTGTTTTGCTGTGCTCTGACTGTCTGTCCTTGGCAAGCTGGAGGGAGGAGAGGGTCCCAGCAGTTTTCCTTGGCTTGCACCCGGGAGAGCTGGTCTGGCACCTTCTTGTGCCAGGCAGTGCACTGAAAACTTGGTATGGAGCCCTGAGGGCTCAGCAGTCAGGGCACCAGTGACTGAGACATGTTAGCTGAATATCAATGTGGCAGCCAACCTATAAAAGCTTATGCTGTTGTCACCTCCTGGGTAACGAGTGCATTGTTGTTTGCATTGTGGGAGCATCCGAAGCTCACCCAAGTGGCTGAGGGTACATCTGAGAACTAGGCAAAGGAAGTGTCCTGCCTGGGGAGCTTTGCAGCTGGGAAGGGGCTGAGAAGCCCTTCATGATTAATTCATGAGCTTCAGGTCACTCCTCCCTTCACCCCACTCTGCTTTCCCTAGGGTGCTACAGAGTGTGGCTGTCCTCCAGCCTGGAACATTCTTTAGGTAGATGAGGACTTTGGTCCCTAGTTTTTCTGGACGTTTGGCACTTGGTAAGAAAACTGGAAGCAACCTGCCTGCTGTCAAGCCTCCAGTAAATAATAAAAAGCCCCTTACCATGCATGGGTGGGCTGCATGCCCAGGGAGGCTAACCTACTTCACAGGCCCTGTGTGTGCCCAGATTTCTGACCAGGATTTTACTGCCACAAGTACCAGTGATCTAAACCAGTGCAGGAGCGCCCAGGCATTGGTAGCCTTGGCAGCAGTGCAGGGTAGCAGCATCCCTTTGCCTTCAGGGCAGGGCTGTGCGTGTCCCTGAAGTCCATGCTTAGGCTATGGCAGGGAGTGAATACTCACATGCTGCCCCAGGGTTTGTATAAAAGTTTATTTCATGAAGAATATAGCAAATTGCTTGTCAACATTAACCCACACCTCTCTGCTAGTCAGTTATGTTTGTGTAATTTTTCCAGCGTGTTCATGGAAATGCATCTGTATGGGTAGGTGCACACAGGTGTTTGGTACCACTGCTTTGGCTAAGGACAAGCCACCGCTGGTCAGGAGCCAGGGGTAGGGGGCAGTGCCTGTTTGCTCAGGCACAGCATGTTGCTGGGGTGTCCATATTACACTAGAACCCCACCTGGGTTGCTTGTGCCCATCAGCACCATCTGTGTAAAGGTACCCTGTTTTGCTTGTGCTCCTGACTTGCAGTGAACTGTAACATGTCCTACAGACATGCTGATAGCTCAAGCTGGTTGGGAAAAGTTCCAACAAAACCGTTTTTCTTCTGAATTTGATGATTTGCTGGAATGGAAATGCATGCCAGAGATGTTTCCACACCTATCAGGTCCTAGTAAGAGCTGGGCAAGGTTCCAAGGCATCTTCCCTAGTGGCTTCGCAGTCTACCTCAGGAGCATCAAGATTTGTGGGTATGTGGCAGTCTTGTCTCCCATGGCTTCCTATTCATAGAATCATTAAGGTTGGAAAAGACCTCTAAGATCATCAAGTCCAACCATCAAACCAATACCACCATGCTCACTAAACCATGTCCTTAAGTACCACATCCACTCATCTTCTAAAAACCTCCAGGGATGGTGACTCAACCACTTCCCTAAGCAGCCTGTTCCAATGCTTGATAACCCTTTTGGTGAAGAAATTTTTCCTAATACCCAATCTAAACCTCCCTTGGCACAACTTGAGGCCATTTCCTCTTTTCCTATCACTTGCTATTTGTGAGAAGTACTTCTTGGCTGGGGTCAACCTTAGCCACAGGCCAGCTCAGGTGCAAGACCTACTCCCTTTTGCAACAATTTTGAACAGTTTGTATTTTCTTCTGAGTGGGAAGGTGTCAAGAATTTAAACATTGAAAGTCTCCGTAAAGTGCAGTTTTCTTTCTTCACCAGAATTTCTTAGACCCTCTGAAATTCTGAAGGCAGCAAGACTTTGTAGCTAAACATTCAGTAATCCTTTATAAACTGTAAGTGAGGCTTAATTTAATGGATGACTCATGTAATTGAGTGCTTTCTTGAAACTGCATTTGTATCCTTTTTAGTTCAGATTATTCTGATACCTAGTTTTGCCACTTATATGTGTATATTTATATATAAAACATATAAAATCCTTATGCCTGCAATTATTTTTCTGGGGTTGTAATTCTACTTTATTTTAGCTTGTCTTATTTTCCTAGCCTGTTACATTTGTTTCTATTTATTATGCATCTTCTCCCGTTTTAAATAAAATGTGGAACATCTTGATGAGCAGGTAGATTTTGTCTCATTAGCAGTGACAGATGCAGTGCTCTGGTAATGTTCAGTGAGCTCTTGCCTCTTGTAATTGGACAGTATTAATGTTTAAAAAGGCAATTGAATGAGCTTAAAGAGCTCACAAGATGGTGGTCTCTGCAGGTGTAGTAAATCATCGTGGTGAGTAGATGCAACTGCCAGCACATGGCAAAATAACTTCTGAGAGTTCAGGTTGCTGATTCACAGGTCCTGCAATTACTAAGGACGGTAGGGAGGCTGGGGAGAAAACAGGGAGCCTGCTCTGGCAAATTCCAGATGGAGAACTTGCATTTGCCTCCATCCTTTAATGAGAGGGTACCAACATCTGAGGCAGGTCCTGGGGACATATTTGATTGTAATTCTGGGCCTTGTTTCCCACTGCAAGGTCATCTTTGTCCTGCAGCACACGGGGAAATGCCTCAGACTTTCTGTGTACATACGCTTTTGTCATGTGCTGTATTTAAAATGTCTTTTTCCTCTTTCTTTCTCCCCTTAAAGTGTCTGTTTATCCCTTTTTGCTTTTTTAGAATGATTTAGAGGTTTATAGAGGCTTCAAACCTGCAAAATGTTCAAATACAAACTGAAAAGTAAATATGCTACATATAACCGAGAAGAGACATTAAAAAAAGGTTGTTGTAACACCTCTAAGTCTGACTTGGCACTTTTTAATCAATAAATTTTTAGGAGGTTTGTATCATTGTCTTGGTTTTATAGATGAGAAAACACATCAGCTGGTTTAATTGTTTTCTAAACTGGGAACTTGGGACATGCATGGTTTATATGTGTGAGTCATCCTATAATTAAACCAAGAATTGGGTCTGAAGTGAGGAGTATAAAACAAGGATAAGATGGATATTCTGAGTTATTGTTTAGTGAGCCAAGGAAATAATTTACAATAAATGGCCTTTTTATATATGAATGAGAAAAGGAAGGTTCTGACTGCTTTAGAGTTTTCCAGCATTCACAGTCACTTGGCAGAAGTCTTTCCAACAGTGTTTTGTACTGAAGTTACAGCCTTTCCCTGTCTCTGGGTAGGTGGTAGAATGCTGACAATTCCAGTATGACTTCTTCAGTGAGGGACTTCAAATATTGGTTCTCAGGAATATGCAAGTGGTAAAATTTGCTGTCTGTCAAATGTATTTTTTGAGAACAGTGTAACCATTTGAATAGAGAAAAATGGAAACAGATGATGGTTGTGGACAGTGCCCCAGCAGACTTGATATTTGAACAGTTCTTCGCGGGGAAAAAAGTGTTGGCTTTCTGGCACTTCAGAAAATACCAGGAGGCAATAGCTTGGTCCTCTGTCCGTTCGTATGATATTTCAGGTAAACTGAACTTCGGAGGCTGCGCTCCTGTCCTCTTTCATGGAGCGAGTGAGGTATGGTGTGCGGAGCCTCGGTACATGGTGCCCCCAACTAATCGGCAGCCTTTGACCTGCAGGAATCACAAATTAGACAACAGTTAATTCTTCATGCCCACTAGAAACTAGACTTTCTGCTGTTGGTCTGTAAGACAGTACGGGAGGCCCAAGCTGTAGGCCACGTCCCTTGGCTGCCTTGGTGGAGCGTCTGAGTTGACCCTGCCGAGCTGACGTTGCTTAGAGCAGCTTCTCTGGTCAGGAATTTCTGCATTATAGAGCTCATCAGCCCCTCCTGAACTCCTTCCTTCACACTTCAAGCTCTATTACTCTTCCTGGGGTGCTGAGAGTCCCAGGTGAGCGTAGCTTTGCCGTTCCAGTGTTGGGCAGTTTGTTCCAGGGCCTTCTCTTCCCTTTTTGTCCTTTGTACAATAAGATGGTGGGAAAAAAGGGGGTGTGGTGGGATTTCAAGTGTTTCCATATGCAAGGAGTTATTATTTGAGGAAAAAAAGACTGATGACCATGAAGCCTCATGTTCCAAAAGTAAGAAAGAAACACTCAAACTGTGGTTTTCCTCTCCACTGTCTATGTACCCACCTGAACCTATTGCATAGATCTTTATATAGGGTAAGTGCTTTGATGTTAATGGCTTTCTGTATTATATAAGCCTATTTGGTGTCATCAATACATTATGTTTACTTAGTTCAACAAACCCACAATTCTTCCTTTTCTTTTTCCCCTAGAGTGACCGACTACTCATTAAAGGTGGACGAATTATCAATGATGACCACTCCTTCTATGCAGACTTATACCTTGAGGATGGACTTATAAAGTTGGTTTTTTTAAATATTGATTTTTTTTTTTGCATGCCTGCTAGTATACACTACTGTGATGGTGCTGACCTGCAGCCAGCATCTTGGTTACCTCTCGATGTGGGGCCATAGTAGAGGAGTGTTTAATTATGTAATTCTGTCATTTAATCTTTACTAAAATGAGATAAGTACAAAATTTATTTAATGTAAGTTGAAGGTATTTGCTTTTTGAACAGTTAAATACTAGTTTCTTCTAAAATAGTCAAGGCAGGTAGGCTCTCTCAAGAAGTAAAGCTGAGGACAGTGGATATTTTTGAGTCCATATATGACAGAAGGCTCATTACATCTTTTTTGCTCACACCTAATCAGGGTGAATGCAGCCATGCTCTAAAGGATTGTATGGCATGGAAATACACCCCGTGCTAGTGGGGACCTACTACTTCTCAGGTCTCCTGTTGGTTAATGCTGAAACATTGCACGTTCTGTTCATACTATATTGTTATGCATTGCTTGTATGTCTCTTTTCTTGTTTAGCAAAGGTATATAATCTTAAATCTTCACAAAATTAGACAGAAAATCCTACTCATTTATCAGGATATAAAATACAAGAACAGGGAAAGTATTACTTAGGTGAAAAAATATAAAATACATGTTAATGGTAGCCTGGGAGACAGTAACAGAGATGTTATTCACATAGCTCTGCAGGTCCTACCTTGGTTTAGTGGCGATGGGGTTCCCTAGTTTTTCATAGTTATGTAGTGTGTACAAACGCTCCAATGTACACAAGGATCAAAGCCTTTTTCATGACTGCTAAGCATTTTAACTAGTGACCTAACAAGTTTAGTCTCCAGAGGCTACAATTTAATGCACAGAAACATTATTATGGTTATTTGTTAAATAATTCATTATCTACTTGTTTTCAGAGCTCCTTTTCTTAAGAATATATAATCAGATTAGAAGTCAGATTCTTTATGTATCTGTGGCTACTTACATTATTCATGATTCAGGTTATTATAACAGAAAAAAAATCTGAATGCTTGTATACATATGGTTTTCTTTTTAATACTGCACTCTGCTTTTCCAGTTGTAGTGTTACTTGTATTGCAGAAGTGTCAAAAGCAGCATATTGTTTTAAGTGGAGAAGGCACAAAATTATGAACATGTATTTTTTTTAATAGCAACAATCAACAAAGTTGTGCTCTCTCTGATAGGCATTTTAGTTGAGTTTTTCTCTGCTTTTGTTTGTTCAGATGTAGATTTCCTAGTAACACTTGTAAGCTTCAGAACTGATATAACAACTAAGTGCATGCGAAGCTGTGAGTCTGAAACTGCTGTGGATTTTTGGCCTTGATTCCTGAAATGCAGTGGTAGTTGGTAGGCAGGTTAGCAATGCCGAGCTTTCAGCTGCCCTGCCATTTAGCAGCCCTTGCTAAGTGCAGAGACCGCCTCTGAAATCCATGCATGGATCCGTATCTCCAGAAAGTATTGCAGCTGCCCAAGATAGCTAGGATTAATAATGAAAAGACATACAAGATCTTAATTTTTAAAATGCCTTTATCTTTGCCTAAGGAGGCAAGTTTACTATTCAACACCCTGAGTCATGCCTGGTTTCCTGGATTTAGATGACCCAAGGTTTTTCTTTGTAAATTGTAGAAGAAGTCCTGCTCTGAAAAAACATCTAATTTGTGAGGGCAGCCTGGTGTGAGATGGGCTTGAGTCCTAATTGTGTTTAGAGAATAAATTCTGATGTCTAGGCAAGCACTATATTTTCTGAGATTTCTCTTTTAGTTTCTCCAGCTGAAACTGCCTATTGTGTCTAAATATTTAACATACTTGTTAAGTGTTGCTCAAGATCCTTTGGAGCAGGACCTTGAACCTCAGGCATCCACATTTCAGTTGATGCCCTAACTCTCCAGCTGCAGATAACGCAGAATTCTGTCCACAGAATGGAGCAGCCACCAAACCACTAAGCCCAGAATAGGCAAGAGTGTTCTGGTTTTGTTGGGATATAAAAGTTCTGTGTTAATTTTCTTATTTTGCAGTGGAAACTGATTGGAAAATAGAGGGTTGGGTGTTTCTTGCTGACTAACTGTGGTGGTTTGTCCCACAGGTAGGACCATGCGGTCCTGCACTCACTCCCCCCACCCAGTGAGATGGGAAGGGAATCACAACAAAGGGGCACGGATTAGAATGAGGACAGGGAGGGCTCACTCACCAGTTATGGTCACAGGCAAAAGAGACTCAACTGGGGGAAGAAAAATCAATTTAATTTGTTACCATTCATCTGAGTAGCACAGTGAGACATAACAACCACATCTGACAACACCTTCCCCCCACCCCTCCATTCTTCCTGGGCTCAAATCACTTTGCTCCCGATGTCTCTACCTTACTCCCCTCCAGCAGCACAGGGGACAGGGAATGGGGGTTCAGTCAGTTCACCTCTGCCACTCTTCCTGGCATGAAAGTCCAGGAACAAGATGTTCCAACACAAACTTCCCATGGAGTTAGGGATGTCTTCGGGCTCAGCTCCGGCATGGGGATGTCCATGGGCTGCAGATGGGCCTCTGGTCCAGCCTCCTCACTCCCCACCTCTGAGGGTCCACCCCCACTCTGGCATCGAGCGACTGGGGTCTCAATTTCAGTCACACTTGCCCTCAAGCTCAGCTTTTCTGCTCCAGCGTGGAGTACTCCAGAGCCTACACATGGGTAACTGCTCTGCTGTTGAACCTCCATGGGCTGCAGAGACCTCCTTTGCCTTCTCCCACTCCATGCTGTTGAACTGGATGTCTGAGGTTCTCTGTCCTCCCCCTCCTCCTCTTGGCAATGAAGCTCTCCCTCTTTGTTTAGGCCAATGGTCCTCTTTTGTTCAGGTCAATGGCCTCTCCTTCAGGCTCTCTCCCCCTTCTTCTTTTCAGGACAGTTCTTCCCCTCACAAATAGAGATTTGGAGTGGAATTTCTCTAGTGCTCATTGGCTGAGCCTGCGCTGGTGGGGGTACGCCTTGGAGCCAGGGGAGCTTTCGCCAAGCTTCTCACAAGGAGGCCCCTTCCTACACTACCAAAAACACCCACCCCCAGACCTAACACACTAACAAAATGAAGTAGGGTCTTTTAGACTTATGTCCTTGCCGATTGTCCTGCAGAGAGGTATGTAGATATAACTTTGAATGTGTTTGAAGATTACCTATAGTTTGGAGGATGGTAGATGCTTTTTCCTACATGTCAATACTCAAACTGGCTCCCTAGGTACAAAGGAGCTGTGGTGGATTTTTCCTGACTGAAACTTAAGCCCTGTACACTCAGGTGGCAGCTGAGAGGCAGTTCTCCGGTATCTAAGTAGTAATTTAGATATTTAGTAATTTAAATTGCCATTGGTACATAAATAATATATTTTGCTTACATGTATCCTGTCTCTCATTTCCACATGAGGAAACGAGCCCTGGTCTCCATGCCATGCCAAGCGGCAGGTCACAGTCTGGTGCTTGCTGTCCTCTGCTCTGTCCCTGCCTAGGCTGGAGGGGACTAACAAGTGTGCAGGATGGGTGGCTGAGGATGGGGTTTCTTGAGTGGGCAGGCGGTGACCCAAGTTAGGAGGAGCCTTCGATGCCTAAGAGAGACCTGGGCTTGATAATGACAGAAATAACTCCACTGAGTTCTGGGGGAGGTTTTCAGCTTTCTCAGTGTGATAGTTTCACTTAGCTAGCCGTTGGCTAGCAGCCAACACAGCTGTTCACCCACTTCCCCCCCACCCCCAAGGGATAGGGGAGAGGATTGGGGGGCAAGGATAAGGAGGCTTCTAGGTTGAGATAAGAACAGTTTAATAATAGAGAGAAAACTTAAAATAATACTATTAATAATATTAAAATAGTAAAGATAATAATAACAGCAACAAAATATGCACATGAATGACACCCAATGTTATAGCTCAGCCCCCTCCTGACCGAGCCCGGCCTGTTCCCAGATAACGATCCCAGAGGAGCGACAGTCCCGAACCGAAACCACAATCCTGGAAGAACGAGAGCCCGAGCGAAAGCCAGAGAGACCAAAAGAGGAAGAGACCCTCACTAATATAGTGGACATGACGTGATATGATATGGAATACCCCATTGGCATATCTAATTGTCAATTAAGTTTATTAATTTAAATATTCTTCTCCCCCCTTAAATCTTGTGCTTGTGGACTAACAGAACACAAAGTCCTTCACTTCCAGTAGTAAAAATGTAAACATTGGTACGTTATCAGTGTCTCTCACAGAGAGTCCCAGGCTGCAAACCAAAATATCACTCTTCTAATTACTAAAAAGAAAAACCAGCTCTATTTCAGCTAAAAACCAGAACACTCGGGTTAAGCTTATGAAGAGTTGAGACCTGCTGTTTTTAGTGTGGTTTAATCAGCTCACGTATGACAGAATTCAGCTTGTTCAACTGAAGATGGCAGACAACATCAGCTTCCTGCTAGTCTGAGTTTTCTAGTTGCTGGTGCGTCAGAAAACCAGCTCAATCATTTGTACAATGTCTAGAGTAATCTGCGCTATTGTATTTTTTTCACCCACAAGTAACTGAACCCCATTGTTATTAACATACACTTATCATTAATGAGTGAGCAATTCAGGAATCCCGTCATATTATCTCTTACTCTGTATTCTAATCAGTCAGAATAAAAATAACCTTCAGTGCCAGTGAAGATCAGCTTTCTCCCAGCCTTAATCTTGATACCAGGGCAAAAGATGAGACAGACTCCTGACAGATAATAGTGCAGTATCATCCACAAAGGCCATTTGGTCCCATGTCACTTCAGCATGGATGACTTCAGCCACTGAGAAATAAGCTGTTAACTCTACACTGAAAATAGTGAGCAATGGGTCATCAAAAAACTTCCGTACATACTTAGAACTCTTTCACTTCATTAGGATATGTATTTTCTTTAACAGGGAACTGGTAGGTACTGATTGTAGAAGAAAATAAAAATAAATTGCTTTTATATTTTTCTGTAGTTTTTCTTTAATATTGTTATTTTCAGAAGGTGTGGTAGTCCTTGGAGTGCAATTCCACCTTAGACATATTTAAAGGAAAATGGTCATAATATTTTTTTTTTTTTCCCCTGGTTCAGTTTTTAAGCCATACACTGTACCAAGCTTGAGGATTGTTCTGATTAAAATCTGGGGAGTGGATTCAACTAAGGAAAACTAGAGCTATACTGTTATTATCCATGTGGCTACGTAACTTCATACAAGCTTTCAATGTGCTCATGTGTTGGGAGTGCCTTATGGTATCCTATGCGAGTCAGATTTTAACAGCAGAGAAGCTTCTTGCAACTTGTTTATGCAATTGGATGTGCTGGGCTGCTGCTGGCCTTTGCCTGCATCAGTTCCCTGCCTGTCATGGCATCATTAGTGCTCCTCACAGCTGTAGCAGGTTGTGACAGGCTCCCAGTGCTACACGTGTTGATGAATATTAGACGCCAGACGTGGAGTAGCATGGTTTCAAGCCATGATATTATCAGCTCTCACAAGTAAGCCCTTTTGGATTTGTTCAGTGCTGAGCAGCCCAGACCCAGCTCGGGATGCTGCCGGGGAGTTTGCTTACAGAGCGGCTGTGTTCCCCTCCAGCCCAAACCCGCAGCACTGGGGGAGCCAAGCTGCTGGAGGTGACATTTTTGCATAGCATATGAAACAAATTCGTGACCTCTTGGGGCTGTTTATTAACTCTGGTGGTTTGGCCAAATTCCAGTGTGAATAATTATCCCTGTTTTTTTCGCTGGTTTTAATTAACAGCTATATTCATTTTTGGTTCTAGCTTGTTGTGATTGACTGTTAATCAGTTGCTGTGTTTTGCTCCATAGGTGGGAGTTGCATTTTAATATGGGAGAAACAGATTCAGCAGCTCAGATGTCTGGGGTATTTGTTTAGCTGTGGATAAATGTTATTTTATCCCAGACAAAAGGAAATTAAGGAAAGGACTGTGTGTCTGTAATACGAGATAAACTAAATGAACTTAAACTACCTTTAGTTAGCTTTAAGCTCAAATATATTACAGTGTAACAATGCAGAGACATGGCTTCCACACAGACCCTACCTTTTCCTGTTTGGCACCATGCAAAGTAGACAATAAAAATGTAATGTGGCTTTAAAAGTTAAAGGTTAATTTACTCATAGTGTCCATAAACACTAAAAGTATTTTGATTGCAAGTATGTGGAGTTTGCTTGATACCAGCATGGGGGACAAATGAATGTTTTTAATAGTGAAAAAAAAAGATCCTGTTTTGAAGAACTGAAGGGAAAAAAGATTGCAACAGTTAATTAACATTTTTCCACAGTTATGCAGAATGTTTCACTAAGTTTTAACTTTAAGAGGAGGATGAAGAATATGTGACATGGTAGATTAAAGGTGTTTAGGTCTCTTAAATATGCATTTCTCTATCTTAGAATATTTAAGCATAAATTTGCATTGTTTGGTCACAAAGCAATTATAACTCCTTTCTGATGTGCCTTATGCTTCTGCCATATATTTACAATTCCAGCTTGGTGTCACATTTGATCTATGTTTTTCTGTTTTAATTTAGCAATATACAAAGCCAGAGCCCCCAAGAGAGCATTAACTGTACATATTTGTAATTGTTTAAAGATAGGAATCATATTTAAAAAATAATCATTTTTGAATGCTAGTGCGTTACAGCATCGTTATTGGCCACTCGAGCAGTGCAAAGCACCCTGAGCCCACGGCCCAGCTAGGCAACCTCACGGATGGTTTGTTCTGCCAGTGCCGTGCAGAGCGGCCAGAGCGGGTGTTTGAGCTTCATCTTTCCTTTGGGGTCTCAGTTCTTTCTGTATTGCCCCTAGCTTCCTCTTCCCTAGATGCTTCAAATAGCTTCTGTCCCCTTTGCTGCTTTGTTTAAGTAAAATAATACTGGCTTTCCTTGCTGCCTAGGCAAATAGGAGAGAATCTGATTGTTCCTGGAGGAGTCAAGACCATAGAAGCTAATGGGCGCATGGTTATTCCTGGGGGAATAGACGTCAACACTTACCTACAAAAGCCCTACCAAGGAATGACTGCTGTTGATGACTTCTATCAAGGCACAAAAGCAGCCCTAGCAGGGGGCACCACCATGATCAGTGAGTACTCGCAATACTGTATTTCTTCCCACCCCAGGCTGAAGCTTGTGTAGCACCTGTGGGCATAGCTACAGGAGGCTCCATAGTGATTTTCTGAGATCTTCTGCAATGTATCTTCAAACCTCTGGACACTGTGCTGGAGATCCATTCACCATTGTCATTCAGGGTTGGCCTGAAAGTGAACCTACCCTCAGAAATGAACAGTGGCACGGGGAATTGTCTCTTGCATTTTCTTCTGAAGTACAGAACAAGCACTGAGGGATGATACACCTACTCTCGGGATTTTTGAAAAACAGTGTAATCAGTGCTGTAAGTATATGGCACAGAAATGACAAAGATCCACTGTTCCCACCTAGTGGCATTCCAGGGGCTTTGGAAATAACAAGATGCTTATTTGTGAACTGGATTTGGCACCAGTAATTGAGGAAGTCCTTACCAGAGATGTCCTGGAGGAACTTCTTTCTTGGTGGAAGGGAGAAGTGTTTCTGGTTGTTAAAGACCCTTCTTCTGTCTACCAGATGGCAGGACAAGATTTATCTCATTCCTACTAGCAGTGGCTTGGCCCTTGGTTAGACTTTGTGAGGCAGTTGTTCAGGTGACATAAATTGTCTTAGCTTCCTTGTGCAGAGGAGCTGCCCAGTGGGGTTTTAATCCCACTGAATTGGAATGTGGCTTTTTTTGCTGAGTGGTATTACCTGTTACCATGTTCAGCAGCAAGTATTGGCTGAAAGGTTCTCTGGCAATAAACACAAAATGCACTGCTGTTCATTACTTTTCTTAATAATTTTTTTCATGTATGTCCTTCAGTTGAGGCTTTCTGTGCAGCATTAAGTTTGCATATGCCACCCATAAGCCCACCTTGCTCTGTTTTTGTACATACTTTTGTACTTTACTCTTGCCCTGCAAAGATAAGTGTATGTGTGTAAGTAGTCATGTCTTTAATTTATGTCAGTAAACATTGTGGCATCATCAGATGCAGAAAGCCTTGAGACACTGAAGATGCATAGTTGCAGCGCACTTGATCTGCCATATAGTGTGGCTGAGTGTTTGTGCTCTACATCATCTCTGTTCAGACCTTTGGCTATATTCCCAATCCTGGCTGCTGAGAAAGCATTTGATGTCTCCATTGATGTATTGGTAGGGCAGAGTGGGCCAATTCAGTGACTGTGAGGCACTGGTTAATAATAATGCTTAATATGAAATACATAGAAATGGACACATCAGACAATAAGATACAGGTAAGCCCAGAACCTGTGGTGTCTTACAAAACAGTAAAGGGAAAAACAGGTTCCCTAAACTGGGACATGTTTGGATCTCCCACTGTGTGTCCATTGATGCTGCACCAAGCAGGTTGCCAGGCTCAGCTTTAGTATAGACTGTCCACAAAGTCTGCCATACTGGAGACAGCAGGACCTGGCTGACATCCCAAAGTTACGGTCTGCACACAAACTGCCTCCCAGGCTGCTGTTTTGGCCAAGATGCTGGAAGGCTTCTTAGAGGCACTGAGGAAATCTGAACAGTGGGCAGTTTGGGTAACAGACACTGAATCTCTTTTTTCAGTTGACCACGTGTTTCCAGAACCTGGTTCAAGTTTACTGAGCTCCTTTGAGAAATGGCATGAGGCAGCTGACACCAAATCCTGTTGTGATTACTCTCTCCATGTTGATATCACCAGCTGGTATGATGGGATTCGAGAAGAACTGGAAATACTGGTGCAAGACAAAGGTTAGTGAGTGAAAATTAGTAGTAACTTTTTTAATTGAAATATCATATGGAGGTGAAATTTTGAATTATTTTAATGAATGCATCATCCAGAACAGACAAGCAGAGGCACTGGTTATGGTGCCGAAGGTTCTGCACTCCCTTGAATTTTTATATTCACTTGCTACTCTGTAAAATGGATGTAAAATTTTGTGTATTTGTGCTAGTCAGCAGCAAAGCCTGTGGAGGGAGAAGGTTTACCCGAATATAGGCATGGAAAATTAAGATGTGTCTGTCGTCAGACACAAATGTATCACTTTATGCTTGCCTTGTACATGTGGAAATAGACTCAGACATCACATAGTTAGGTTTTATTTTAAGATAAAACTCAGAAATCAGCATTTAGGGTAATGAGCCCAGTCACCTTAGATCTGCTATTTGATGAATGGAGAGAATGAGACATTTAAAGGTAGCAGTTCAGATTTTAACTAGACTGGAATCTACTCGTTTAGCTGCCTGAAATTAAGCATGAAGGGCACATGTGTCTGAGAAATGGTCATCACAGGCTATTGCTCATTTCTCAGCAGTGGCTTAGGATAATTTACTTGCAAGACAGATTTTTTTATAAAACATGCCTATATTTTTAAAATAGGTTCAAGTTATTAGAAAAAAGTGATGCTAAACTTAGGTACCTAATATTGAAAAAATGTCCTGATTTTCTCACGTGTTTGGTCTCCAGTGGCTTTCCCTGAAGTTACTGGAAGACAATTTGTTTCGGGACTTACAAAAACCAGGTCACTTATTTAGGAATCTATTTAAGACACTTCTGGGCTTGATTCATTTCAATTAACAGGTCTACTAGCATGTGAGATGCTGGAGGTTACCCTATCTGGACCCCAGCTACTGCTCCAGAATAGCACAGATAAAACCTCTCATAAATCCTTTTCCATACATGCCAGCTCAGTGTGGCAGTTTCATATATGGAGGGTATCTTGGTGGCACCAGATACGTATGTATGTGTGGACAATGGAATCTAACCTTCAGAAAATAATAATTTTGATCTAGTTCCTTAAAATTCTGCCTAACAGCATGGATATTTTTTTTTGTCAGAAACATATTTTTTTCAAATATTTCTCACATGATAGTTTCCTTGAAAATGCATGGATATTAATTAGGAAATATTTTCTGAAATGGCGTTTAGTTACTGTGGGTAAATCAGAATGACCGTTGTGTTGGGAAGTTTAAGTAATACGTGTATGCAGCATCCTTTGTAAGGTGTAGTGCTAGTGATAGATTTGAAAAATTCTCTTTATATAGGAAAGTACTATCAAAGTGGAAAAACAAAGCAAAATCCTACTTTTGAGTGAGCAGTTGTTCACTGAGATACTATGGAGGTGCAGTCACATAGGGGAATTCATCCTGTATTGCAGCATTCTAGCAGTACATGTGCTATATAACCAGATTTTAGGCAACAAATCAGCAATTCAGTCAGCAAGATTACACATAATTTAGTGAAACTGCAGCTGGTCTTACCTAGGTCTTTAGAATATAGGTGATTTTTACAAGGTGATGACATCTGTCAACACTGATGGTGCCAAATCTGTGCTGTTTCCCTGCTATCAGCATTAACATGGATACACTGCTGTGCATTAGCTGACTGTATTCTCAGACAAGTACACTGTGCCTTGTTTCAAAGGCTGGATACTATTTTCCAGAGCTCCTGGATCACAGATGGCTCAGCACTCCCAAATTCGCCTGAGGGCTTATATTAAAAGCCTGGTGCAGACAGTTAGGTTAAAAGTTCCCTCCAACTATAGAAACGTGAGTTTCAGTGTAAATCTGGCCTGCTTTTCACTTGTCAGGGGAAGCAGGCATCTGTTCATCAGTTCCTGAACCAGGGTGTGTGATGGGGCCCTCGGTGGCCTCTTTGGTGGCAATAGCACTAGGAGGTCACCTTTGTTCTCACGGATGCTGCAGTATGTCTCAGGCAGCCAGTGTGAATCACTGTTGTGTTAGGAGACACAAGGTAAGGGCGAGTATGGAAGCACAAGCACAATAGGAAATATTTCAGTGTGGCTGTGGCAGGGGCTTTCAAATTAATGGGTAATATCTGCTGGCAATTGGAAACATTTGAGCCAGCTGCTGCGAATAGACTTGATATCAGTGGAGTGATGCTGGTTTTCATCAGCTGGGAATCTGGATTGAATTTGTTCTTGGCTGATTGTCTGGTGGGTGCGTTAGACAAGTAACAGGGTTCAGTTAATCATATTTCGATGCTGCATGTGCCTAATACAGTCTCGGCATGAATTACAGGGGAGCTCACAGAGCTGCTGTTGAGGTGCCCTGTCATGAGTTATAATTGAATAATTAACCAGTTTCAAATCAATACAAAAATAATTTAAGGAGACACAGGCTTTGGAAGGGCCTGGAGATTTTGTAGAACCAAATGTTGATTATAAAGACTCAGACTTGTAGCATTTTGGCAGCTAATTTGGGACTGGGCTTCTCCAGTCTATGCAAAGGAGTAACAGCCTGAAGTGTCTTGACAGGCACCTCACTCATTCCTTTAACTACTGCGCTTTGTCACTGTTGAAAAAAATCTGTAGCACTGTCTGAAATGTGGAGAGGATCCTGTTGGGTACTGCTGATGCGAGAGCAAGGACATTAACAAGAATGTAGTATGTAACAAGTTTTAAATGTTAAAGTCAGTGGGCCATGAACCAGGTCTTTTGAAGAGCCACGTATTTTCAATGAGTAGATCAAGACACCAGACCAAGGCATTATGCAAAGAGTCTAATCTTGGATACCTGTGTGTGTAAATTGGTGTTATTTTATCTTAGTATGTTGTGAAGGTATCTTGGCAAGGCAGGATGGTTCAAACTGTCTCTCCTGTTAGCTATGAAGGGAGTGTGTGAGGTGCCCTTCCACTTTGCATGTATCTGATGTGGTGGCTTAGACTGTGGGTGTGCATTTAGATGGGACAACTCTGCTTCTGCACTGTGGGAGCTGTTGGTAAGAGACAGGCTCAAGATCCCATGACAAGGTCCCTTCTACTCTCACTGGCTTCAGGGAGAACATCAACCTGAGTGGGAGCAAAACTCATAGTCATTTTACCAAGGTCAGAAAAGGGCCTAAGAAGATACAAAGGCAATAAAAGAAAAAAGGACAGAATATATATTGCTTGGGTCAATATATGTCTTACAACCACAGTGTCTAGAGAAAGCTGCCTTATCTCCCGTGGGACTGTGATTAAATGAATTACCTTTGGCTAGATCCCAGTGGATAAAGGAGAACAATAGGTAACCCAGCTCTTCACTACAGAGAAATGTGTACGAGAGGGTTCAGTCCCATGCCATCACTGAGGGTAGTCAGCATGGCTGGGACCAGCCTTGACACATCTCATTACTTCACATGTGCATGGTCACCCGTGCAGAAAGGTGACTCCCAGGTGCAGCTGACAACTGAGACGCTGCATGGCTTTGTGAAGAGAAAGAGAGCTTTCCTCCAAGGCAGGTCGGCAGATGTGAGCAGTCGGAGGGGAGACAGTGCTGCATGAAGCTCTAAGCTCTGGCCTCAGGCAAGGCGTAGTCAGAGTTAAAAGATTTTAAAGCAGGGACGTACTAAGTACATTGAAACTGTGTAATGAGGAATAGGCTGAGGGATTGCAGACCAAGCAAGTTTTCTGGGAACTTAAGAAACAGGAAAATAGGAAGAAAGGACAGGCTCACGGGCTGACAGGGCTCCGCAGTCCAGGCTGGATTTGCTCAGCGTGGAAGTCAGCAAGGAGGCTCTCGCTTTGTGTTTCTCCCTGAGCTGCTCTGGCCTTAGCAGGAAGAAATAATACCAGGGATCATTTCAAGGTTTTATCCTGCAGGTATGCTGGGATATTTTAATCTTGTAATTGTGAATAAACAAATTCTCTTATGTTGAACAGCTATACCCTCTGCCTGAGGATGTATCTTTGCCTTCTAGACTCAGGAAGGAGTTATATCTTCATCAGAGAGCCTTATTCATTCAGTATAGCCAACATGAATAACATGAATAGATCTCTTTCTTTTTCCTCTCGCACCAGGGAGCGCAGTTTTCATGACAGCTATTTTGAAATGCAGCATACATGGCTTAGACAGCTTAGAATGTACTTTTCTTTTAAGCTAGAAAACTCTGAAATCAGTCCCTGTACCAAACTAGGGATGTTGTCAGTAGACTAAAGCGTAAGGCAAATTTATGAACTAATATGTATTAATATGTATAGAAGGTATGAACAGAAGATGTTTGGAATTCCCATTTCCTTAGAATACAAAGCTGTGTAAATAATCAAATCTTTGAAATAAATAGCAAAACTTGTAGTGGTTTGAATACAGTTCATTCTTGTCCACTGACACTCAACACTAGCATTTCTTACTGATTTCCAAAATTTGGAGCTGTCATCTTTTCATGATTTTGTATGGCTGCCAACATAAATCCTTCTGTCTTCGGAATGTGGAAGGAGAGGTGTGGTGAGCTGCCCTTGTAAATGGTTTCAGGCTTTGCTTCCACTCCTGCCCAGTGCTGGCCATCAGCTAAACTGGGTGCTTTGGGCAGTAGAGTCAAGAAAAAGCAAGTTTGTATGCAAATTCACATACACAGTTCCTACAGCTTCCCAGCACTTTGGGGAACTTAACTAGAAGTTTTATTTATTAACAAGCATAGTTTCAGACCAAACTGAAATGTTTTCCTGATTAGCTAAAAAAGCAAAAAAGAAAACCAGTGGTTCACAGAACCTTACACAATTTTTTTTAAAGCTTTACGGAGTTCACGTGCTTGCTTTAGCCACTATCGCTTGTCTGTGATTTGGCTACAGGCCATCTCATTTGTGGTGGTGGCTGGGTTGCTCCAGGGCTGAACACAGGAGATCCACAGAGTCCAACAGATTCTCCCAGAGGAGAGAGGATTCAGGCTTCTAGTCCTAGCAGCTGTAATGCAGCTGTGAAGCCATGCTTTATTTCTGGCAATCACTGGTGAAAAGCATAGTCCAGACATATTCTATGACTTGTTTTTCCTGAAGTTTTTGTTCAAATACAATTTAAGAATCCACTTACATGGTAAAACCTTTCAATTTTGTCTTGGAACAGGTGTGAACTCTTTTCAAGTCTACATGGCCTACAAAGATCTCTACCAAATGTCCGACAGCCAGGTATTGCTCTGAATGCTTTTCATTGCTGTGATCTGTCCTCTCTTCTGTGATCTCCCAACACTTAAGGAGTTGCTAAGGTTGAATCACAAACATTCCCACTGACCTGGGTGACATGGAGGAAAATGTGCAGTGAAGGAGTTCTCCCAGGAGTGCTGAGCAGTGTTGAACACCTGCATGTGTTCCTTCAAGTGTATGGCATCCACCTGCTGCAAGGATTATCTGGTGTCTCCCAACATTGCAAGCACTTGGCACTGCTCAGGATTTTTCCCTCACTTTGTATTGCTGTTACCTTTCAAGAACTCTAAGTCAAAGAGGGAAGAGAAGATGAAGTACTTGAGGCAGTGATGGTTTTGAGATTTCAAGGGTTTCTTGGTTGCTGCAAACAGCTAAATGGAGTTGTTCTTTGGGGGAGGTGGCCTTTTCTTATTAGGGCTGGAGATAACAATGAGCTTGTTTGTCCAGAGCTCATTACAGATTCCAGACTCTTCAGCTTTCCCATTCATAAGTATCAGGTCATTGTAAATGGACAATGGCATCTGTTAGTAATAATAATGTTTGCTTATTCAGTTGAGAAAATGTTTCTTTCTAACTTATTCACAGAGTTCTAGCTCTTGGTCTCTTAAATAACTGTTGTTACACCTCCAGTCCATGCAGTTTTAATTGGAATTTTAGACATACTAATAAATTCTCTGACAGGCAGTGCCTGTTAAATTCAACATAAAAATATTTAATGTGTGGCTAGACTAGTTCCTGTTACCTTGTTTAAATGCACATGTTGCAGAGTGTGTATTCTGACCCATTCAATGCTAGCTGAAGTGCCCTACTGCAAAAGTGGGTACTGAAAAAACCATGTCTTCAGTATTGATCTGTGTTTGGAAACTGGGCTCCCACATGTCTGAATTCTGGTTTAAACAGGGAACACATTAGCTGAATACCTTTTGCAAAGGGAACTGAATTTCAGTAGATCTGTACTCAGAAATTCTTGGTAAAAGCAATAGGAACAACTATTCCCTTCTGTATGGATGAGTTTTGAATCTTAGAAAGCAAAAAACAAAAAGGATGCTCTAGGGAAAATATTACAACTTCTAACTGCAGAATTAAAGGTGTTGGTGAAAGCTTGACACCATTTGCTCTAAGAAGGTGTTGCACAATGCCTGTACTTCAGAAAAAGAGGTGGTTTAGGTCTACTAAAACTGTGTGTAGTTCATTCATTATTGCCATTCCATGGGAATAATTCCATTTTACATTTGCTAAAACTACAGAAAAGAGACTACTTGCTAAACCTAGGCCTGTGTGGGAGGGCATGAAGAAGTAGCCCTACAGTACAAGGGGCTGGGGACGCCCAATGTCCGAGGGAGATGCAGCCCCGCTTGGGGCTGATGTCCCTGTCTTGGTGCAGAAGGCAGAGTCTCATCCTAGGGCTGGCTGGTGTGTGAGGGGGTGGATAAGTTAACACCCAGCAGTGAAGCTCTGGCTCTGTGTAGAAAGCAAAGCGTGGAAAAAGGAGATAATTTGCTATTCACCTAGATAATTACCAGCATAGAAGGACCAAAATTGAGATGAACAGAGAGGTCTGAGTGTTACGTAATGTGTTTTCCTTATTCAGCAGTGTTTCCTTCTTTGTACTGTCTGCAGCTTTATGAAGCCTTTACCTTTCTAAAAAGTCTTGGGGCTGTTATCCTGGTTCATGCTGAAAATGGAGACTTGATAGCTCAGGTGAGTGAACTACCTTTGTTGCTTCACTTTGTGAGAAGGTAGACACAAGAGAGAAGTAAAACCCTCCCATCAGAGTATGGGTAGGAAAAAAGGAACTGCCTGGCAAGTGCCTTGATTTGGCCTGATGTCCCACACACCATTAGTATAACCTCTGGGATGCGAAGGTGGAGGTCCTTTTGCATGCTTTGGCAGAGCATCTGTGAGGTAGAGCAGCAATCCAGACAGCTCCTTACCTTAGCAGCAGATGAGGATTGGGTGAGGGGGGCAGAAGGGAGGAAGAAGATCTCATTGAATCTGGCAGAGACAAGTGAAACAGAACAATATAAAGCCTTCTTAAAGATTTTGGGGACAGAAGGTGGAGCTGGGAAGCTTTAAGCTAATGTTCCTTGCTGCAGCTATCACCATAAGCAGCATATGGAGTTTAGAGTGGGTGGTAAAGCTCTCAGGCCTATTTGTTTTTGCAAATATTCTCATAAATCTCGGAAGTTTGAGAATAAGAAACCACTATGATCATCTAAATATTTAAAAAAACATGCATGAAAGTGTAAGCCATGCTTTTTGAAGATGCCTCTCAAAATCAGCAAACTGGTTTCAGATTCAGTATGTTTCATTACAATGTCCTGGATCACCAGTGCAGTCTTTCCAGGTCATGTCCCCCCGTGTAGGTACTGTCCTTACACTGGAGTGTGCCTTCACTCTGAGCTGTGCCACAGCACATCGAAAGAGGTACCCAAAGACAGCAGTCGATAGTAAACCTCCTGCTGGTCTTTCAGAGGCCAGGGTTGCCCTATAAAACAGGATGGAAGGGTTTGGGTGGGTGTTGTTATCACTCTATACATCTGTGGCAGATGAATCTTTTAGGGCTGTTGCAGAGATGTCTCTCTCCTCTGATCCCTTGTATGTGTGTGGAGCCCCTCGGAGGTCTGCAAGGCTCTGAGTGAGTCAACTGATTTATCTGCCGAGCTCTTTATCTGCTGGCTTATCTGCTAAGGACTAGGCTGCAGAGCTGACAGGGAAATTACAATTGCTAAAAACAAGGTGTGTCTGAGATCTGGACTAGGGAAGCCACCTTGTCTCATGGTTAAGGGAGAAACCTCAAGTGAATGTTTGAGTGGTTGGGCAGCATGTAAGAGCTCTTGTCCACATGGATTTATTTTGTTGTTTTTCCCTCTGTGGGATTCTGTCCTTTATCTGCCTGGTAGGAATTTACTCCATTTGAGAGCCTTCTTTTCCTTTTCCCTTCAAGTTTGGCCAAAATAACCACTGGTCTCAAAAGTTACTAGTGAGGAGTCAAGAGGCATATACAGAGCAGTTGTGTCCTTCCCCCACTGAAACCAGGTGAAATCCATCATTTGGATTCAAGAGGGAAAAAAACTTCCCATGAAGTTTAGCATTATTTAAAACTACCAAAATATATAATTTATGGTTTTAATACAACATAAAATATCCAGCAGAATGAAAATTAATAATAAGAAACATAGTAAGTCAGTATTACTGTAGGAATAGAAAAATTGAACAAATCAAATGGCACCTGTGATATTTTGATATGTTCCCCATTAAAACCAAGGTGCGCTCATGGAATTGCATTTCTGATTGAAATCTGTTGCAGTTACATTTTCCTTTGATCATACAGCCATGGAATATGAACATACATTATTAGGAAAAGAGGACGTAGTAAAGAAATGTAAATTATATTATACATCAACATATTTCTTCACCATTGCCATATCTCATAAAATGAGTTTTCCTTATGCTTCTATTTAGAAGGATTATTTAGATAATGAAAAGAAAGCTGCCTGCAGGGGTGTTTTTCAGGACTATCCTGCATGAAAATCCAAATTTGATCTTATCAAACAAATATTCTATCTTATTAGCACTGTCAAATCCTCTTACAGTGGCTAATTTTATCATATGATCTGATTTCTTTACTTCCTTCAAGATACAAATCTATCCTACTCTGTGTTCCATTCTTTGCCATCTTGCTGGTTTTTTATATGATGTGATTGCAACTTTAGTTTTTGCTGTGTTTTAATTATCTGAAGTCTTTAACTGGCACTGTTCAGAGCTGTTGCAGTAATGATTTAGAGCAGCTATTTTTAAGAATACCTATGAAACATTATGATTCTCTAAACAAAATAATCTTAATTACAGAGTCAGATCAATACATTCCTATTAGTGCCTTTTCAGCCTTGATTGATGGCAGCAAAGGCAAGAGTATATATTACTATTAACTCAGTCAGGTTTTGCTGGAGTATGTTGGTAATGTGTGAGCTTTTCACCCTCGGGGACCTGGGATCAAATATTTATTAGATGACACAGTAAAGCATGTTTGGTAACTTCATCCTGGTCTCCAGGGGACATTTGTCTGTATCGCAGAGTCATTACATTTGTTGAACTGGGCTCATTAGAGACCTGTGGGCAGGGCAGGCGGGGTTGGAGGTACATCAACAGCTCTGGTCCCACTTCTGCTCTGCTGGCAGACCTGGACTGACCTCCAGTCAGAAGCGGTTGACTGCCATTTTCTACAAAAAGATACATTTATTCCAGTACCACTGCTGGACATTAAATTAAAAGATAGGTGAAGCTTTTTATCCATTTAAAAAATTGATCTCACTGCTGTGAAGCTGGTTAGCACAGATTTTTTCTGACAAACCCCGGTTGGTCCCAAGATGGGCTTTTTCGTGTGGACACAGTCTCCTCACAACTGGAGGGCAGTTTTGCTTTCGTGAAAAGATAATTTTAATGATTCACTCTGTAGGAAAAAAAGTGTTACAGAAAATAGGGTGCCAAAGGCAAGACATTATTTGATGAAGTGTTAGCAATGCTAAAAGTTCAAGGAAGATAACAGTGCTTCATGGATCGCAGCTAGAGAGGAACTTTTGCGAGTGAAAAAAGAATTGCAGGCTGGAAATATTAATAATTACTATTTAGTATATTGATTGAAGCCTGCTCCCTGGGTTGGTGTCTTTGTGTCAAATAAGATTTTCAGAAGGACAGAAGAGATTTTGATGGTGCAGCCCAACAACTCGAGGTGCAAATACGTTCTGTTGCACTACAGAGACAAATCTTCCCCTGGAATCTGTGCTGGCTGCCTGGAGCAGATGCTGGAGTGGCATGGGACCAGTTTAGGGCCAGTGTTTTCAGTCTTCCTTCCCCGGCAGCAGGCTTACACAGCTGCATTTACACAGACAAAAAAGGGGCACTCAGACAATACGGCTCTTAATCCACCAGAGAATGCCTGGGCAAGGGTCTCATCCTGGAGTGGTTGTTGGCATTTATTCCTTATGTTGCAGGAACAAAAGCGCATCCTGGAGATGGGAATCACTGGACCCGAGGGACATGCCCTGAGCAGGCCTGAGGAGGTAAGAGACTTCAGACTTCACTCATTTTGTTGCTCGTGGAAGTATTTTGTCACGCATCTTGTATCAGAGCTTGGCTTCTGTATGTGCAGATGATAGACGGGTGTGTTGGGGAAGGCAGCGATTTTCCAGTATTATACAAAGCCTTGAAAAGTGCAGGTCCCCTTCAGCTTGTTTGTTTGCCTGAAATACCTTTTTGCTGCTGCAGCAGGTGCATTCCCTTGGTCTGGGGATGAGCCTGTCCTTGCACACTCAGGATTCAAAGCTCCTGCTACCCTGGGCACAGGCATACATGCGTTTTTTGAGTGTGTCGCTTGTGATTGTGATTGTGATGACAAAAAAATGGACTTAGGGTAAAAATCAGCAGTGCAACTTGTGGGTTAGGCTTTGGAGTAACTGCATTCATTAAAATGCTTTGGCTGAAAACCTCCTATAAGATGCATATGTACTCATATACCATCCATATGCATGTGCCCACATAGAAATCTACGTTTGTGCTGGCAGATACATTTGTAGTAGAAATGGAGGCTGTAGAAATGCAAATATATGAGAATGGAAAGATGCTGTGAGGCAGCTCATTTTATGCAAGTCTCTTATAATAAAAACCAGGCTCTGTCATGGACCATCTCAGGCATCTGGAAAGGGTTTCTTTAATGAGAAGGAAAAGGTGGAGACATGTATGTCCCTTAATGTACACAGTTCAGACCATTAATGGGATGATGGAGAGTGGTAGTGGGAAGTGACTGCTTTCCTTAAAGACTGAAGGGACAAGGTCCTGGGTATTTGAGATTAAACTTGAGGAGATTGTTGTGGTTTGAAGATCTTTATATAAGTTCTTCCCAAGGCAAAAGAAATCAGCTTAATTAGTTGCATTCTTCTATTGAACTGGTTTGCTGTTTAACTTCCACCTAAATTACTCTAAAAGAATGGAATTGTTTCCTTTTAATAAGAACAAATGCCTAAGGAAAATCTGCATTTGCAGTTTCCAGAAAGGAATTTTCTGTCTTTCTGACCATACACCTGACCACCTCAGCCCCAGTGCTGAGGTACAGAGGTCCTGCCTCCTTCCCTGATTTTCTGTGGGTGCTTTGGGGCTTCCAGAGAAAATGTTGTGATAAAAGTCCTAGGACAACTTGAAGCAACAGTCTGGTTTAAAAAACAAAACAAAACAAAATAAAAAAACTTCACAAAACTATGGAAAATTAAACCATGTGGTTTTGGAAGAGATAATTTGCTCTACTTTTCTAGCACAACTCTTGGAGAGAAATTTCTGTACCATCGAGTCAGTATTTTCAGTCACAACAGAGTTTTAGGTATTAAAATACCAATACTGTGAGTCCATCTGGGAAGGAGGTATAAAACTGATGACTGGGGAAAGGATACTCCAGAGCCATTGGGAAACACTGCTCTGCTGCCTGAAGATGAGCTTTGTGTGCCTACATCCCAGATGGCTCCCTGGGAGGAGATTGCCTTTACACTTGCTGACAGAGGGGACTTACTGGGCAATGCTTCAAAGGCTTTTATGGATTATGGGCTAAATTCAGTCTAGAGTGCTGAAGTTGCTGTTTGAGAATACTTTACATTCACTGTCATCTTATCCTTATGTAAAGATTGCATAGGGTGAGCTGCCAGGGAGAGCTCAGAGGTTGTCTCTGGGGCAATGTTTCCTTGTTTTGTTCTCCTTCCAACTGCAGGGTAGAAGTCTGAAGCAAAAAGGTGGGAGGAAGGGAAGGAGGAGCCCCATCAGCTGCTTGGACATGACCTTTCCTGGGGTGCAGGGAGCCAGGGACCTGTATTTGTGCCAGTTTAGTGAGTACAGCCTGGTTGTGGTTATTCCTAATGCAAAGTGTCTGAGGTTGGGTTAGCTCCCTGTTTCCCAGCACTGCATCTCTCTCTATGGAAAAAGCAGAATCAACCTCTGAAGAGTTGTTGCTAAACAGTGAGAAATATGGCTCAGTCCTCTAGTTCATTTTTTCCCCAGTCTGCTTTTGCAGTTAACTTTTTCCTTCTTGTTTTCCTCAGCTGGAAGCAGAAGCAGTTTTCCGTGCCATCACCATTGCCAGTCGAATAAACTGCCCAGTGTACATCACCAAGGTGATGAGCAAGAGTGCGGCTGATATCATTGCACTGGCCAGAAAGAAAGGTAAGACACTTCCTTTTATCCACCAAACTCTTTTTGTTGTTGTTGTTGAATAGAAGCTCAGTGGAAAAACCTGCACATCTTGACCCAAATCACAAGGTATAGGGAGAGGTTACCAAAGAATGGTAATACCATCACAGACCCTAAATATTTACGGCTGAGAAAGATGAAACGAAATCCTTCTACATTCTTCAGTTAAGAAACTCTCCCCACAAACTAACCCCTTGAACACTGTCTTGTAACAGTCTTTATCCTGTATCCTCTTTTACTTTTCCCTTAGACTGCCGTATCTCTGTTCATGGGAGGGAGATATTTTCTTCCTAACAGGGTCTAGGACATCCTGTGTGCCTTTTGCAGGTATTTCAGGGTATTACCCTTTGAGGGGTGGCTTGAGAAGTGAACCTGCTGTTAGAGATGCCTGGTGCTCACTCCTGGCCTTGCTGCTGGAGGCTGACCCCGTCAGATATGCACTTGCAAAGAGCAAAATATTGTCTTGATATTTGTATTCTTGGAGACTTGGAGTATGGTGGTGGGGACCATATGGTGCTATCTGCTGGTGCTGTGCGCAACCTGGGGGTAATAAAAAGGCATCTGTCTGCTAGAGCCCATCCTCCACCTAAATGCACTCCAAATCGGAGCAACACAGAGAACATGGCTGTGATTAAAACAGTACAAATTACAACCAGAACTGAACTGTTTCCTTCTGGATTAGAAAGGGAGCTTTGTAAATATGCTGATCAAAAGCGTGTGTAGCTCAGAGAGCCTCCTGATTAATTTTTTATCATACAGACAAAGCAAGGACTGCTTAATTTTGTGGGAGCTACGCTGGCCATGTAGCAATGCATAATTTATACATGGCTGCATGCAGCAAGCAGTATGATGTGCTGAAGAAAGAGTGGCTTGTAATCATTTCCTGTATACCCTTGCTTTCTCCGAGGTCCCCTTGTTTTTGGAGAGCCGATCACTGCCAGCTTGGGGACAGATGGAACACATTACTGGAGCAAAAACTGGGCCAAGGCTGCAGCTTTTGTGACCTCGCCACCTCTGAGCCCTGATCCTACCACTCCAGATCACTTAAATTCGCTCTTAGCATGGTGAGACCTCCATTTTTTTTCACAGGCTGATGGTAAGGCAAGTGCAAAAGTCACATTAGATGAAGCATTTAGGATCAGCCCAGTTTCCATTAGACGAGTCTCATACACAAAACAGCAGAGAAGGGATGTAGAAAACCAGGGATGGTTGTGTCCCTGTGTTTAGGCTGTTGGACAGGTGAGCAGGCATGGACTCTCCAGCTCCAGATTAGCGTGATAGAGAGACAGCTGCTGGTTATTTGGGAATTAATTATTTTTCTTTCTGCTCTTCAAGTGATTCCTAGTTGTACAGCTGGGTAGTCTTCAGCCCAGGACTTCAAACTGGCTTTCTCCCTAGTTCTCTGTTTTCGCCAGCCAAATTGCTAATGTATGATCGAGTGGCATCCTCAATGTCCAGCATAAGCAACAGCCTGGTGGATAGACCCTCATCTGTGAGATCAGACTCAGTTTTAAGCCCTGGTCATACCTGGCCAGCACAGCTCCTGAAGTCAGGTTTGTCCCTGAATGCAGAGATACCTAGATCCAAGAAAACTTTCGTGGTGCATTTTTTGCCAAAGCTGGTGTGGGGCTGTAAGCTGTGAGGACTTTTGAGAATTAGGTTGTCTCAAACTAAATTGTGTCTGTAGCAGAGTTCAGTGGTTTTAGCACCTGTGTATTGAAAACTTCAATAGAAAGAGGCCAGAGTGGATTACAGAGGAGACTGTCAGGGACTCAGGTGGAGACAGGCTGCTTACTAAAGGCCATCACTTGACAGGACAGGGGTATGGGCTGACTGTCTTCAGGCTGGCAGGGAGAGCGTTATCACTGGAGAGGTGAAAGGAATGTGGACAGCAGAGGGAGAAGTGTCTTTCTAATATAGAAGACATCAGCAATGCCTTGCCAGCAACCCAGACCGTAAACCCATCCCTGAAAGTATTTCCTGCCTGTAGCCAACTGTGGGTCTTCTTTAGCATAAGCAAAAGACAATCTGCTTTGAAGTGATACAGAAATTCACAGCTGAAATCCCACCAGGACAGATTACTGGTGATGGAGTGAGAACTCAACTTACCATTCCAAACCTTATTTAGCACCATGTGGTGACACTCATCTGACCTGCTGCCTCGACTTTCTAGGGTTTGCAGTGCTCTAGACAGAGCAATAGAAGTTAAACCCTAAAACTCACCCATGGGTCTTCAGAAAACGTTTCCTCCTGAGGTTAGTTTTCCAGGTGACTAACTGTCACGCTGTACGGCAGGAAGTGCCAGTGTGGCTGGTAATATAAGGCTCCTGCATGTGTGATTCAGGCTTGGGCAGTGCCCCTGCTGCAGTGTGCACACATCTCTCCTTGCACACGGTGGGTCAGGCTGTGCAGTCCTGGTTCTAAACCTGCAAATCCAGGTTTTAAATCAGCTGCCCTAATCATAGAATCATAGAATGGTTT